AAAAAAAAAAGATTGTAATAATGGCTGTATTTATGTAAGAGGCTCAGTGAACCTGGCCCTGTTCTAAGCCTTTTACACATATTAACCACAACAACCCAAAAGGTTGCTACAAACAAGGAACAGAGGCATGAAGATGTCCAAGGTCATGCAACTGGGGCTTGAAGCTCCAGGTACCAGAGTCTGTGGCCTTGACCATCAGCTCAGGCACCATGCTGAACTCAATGTGTAACAGGATAGCTACTGTGTGCCTGGTCCTTCCCACTGGAAATCCTGTCCCCATCCTCCTCCCAAGCTCAATGGAAGAGTCGCCTCTCTGGGAAGCCTGGCTCTCTCTGGTTCGGTGTTCCTTGAGCTCTGATAATGTCCTGAGTTATCTCTGTTATAACCACCACTTCTCAGTATTTCCCTCCACAGTAGGAGCCCCAACAGGGGGGCCTGGGTCAGACTCCTGTCTAGGTGACAGCACTGCCTGACACCTGGGGTGGGGGATGGGGGGCTCAGAGATGTCATGATGGGATCAGTTAACAACTTCCAAAACCAGGGGAAGTGTGTAATCAATGAACTGATCACACAACTAATCAATACATTGATCACAAAAGCACTAAAATAATAGAAATCATCATATCCTTCAAACATTTATGTACCAGGCACCGTGCGAAGCACTTCACAGGTCTGAATACACTCAGTCCTTGTGACAACCTCCAGAAATAGGCTCTCCCCAGTTTACAGGTGAGAAAACAGATGCCCAGAAGGATTAACTGGTCTCTTCCTCAGTCTGTTTCTTGACAGACCAGCCCCAGTGAGTTTTTCAAAATGGAACTTTGATTAAGTCACTCCCTTCAACTGCTTCTTGGATATGGCTCATGACAAAAACCCAACTGCTTAGATAGAAACACAGGAGAAGGGGCCGGCCAAGTGGCTCAGTTGGTTAAGAGTGTGAGCTCTGAGCAACAGGGTTGCCGGTATGATTCCCACACAGGCCAGTGAGCTGCGCCCGAGCTGAGCTGCCGCTGAGCTCGTGAGATTGAGTACCCTTAGCAGCAAGGTTGCTGGTTCAACACCTTATGGGATGGTGGGCTGGGCTGCACCCTTCCCCATCCCCCAGCAACTGAGATTGAACATGGCACCTTGAGCTGAGCGGCCGGGAGCTGCTGACGGGCAACTGGACTTGGAGCTGAGCTAGCTGTGCCCTCCACAACTAAGATTGAAGGACAACAACTTGGCTGTGTTCCTTTCCCCAATTCCCCACACTGTTCCCCTTCCCTAATTCCCCAATAAAATCTTTAAAAAAAAAAATGTAAGAGGAATGAGAATATTGGAAAAACCATCATTTTTCAACCTCTGATGACAGTTGATTCAGGCAATGATTGTTGATGGATGCAATTAAAGGAAAGAATGATGGGACATGGATATCCACAGGGTGCTACTACTTGCTAGTAGCTTTACAATGGCAGGTTTGTGCTGTCCCTATCTGTATAAGTCTACTAGAGCTGCCAAAACAAAATACCATAGACTGGGTGGCTTAAACAACAGATGTTTATTTTCTCCCAGTTCAGGAAGTTGGAAGTCTGAAATCAGGGTGCCAGCATGGTTGGGTTCTGGGGAGGACTATCTTCCTGACTTGCAGATGGTTGGCCATCTTCTCACTGTGTCCTCACTGAGCAGAGAGAGCGCTCTCTGGCATTTCCTCTTCTTTTTTTTT